AAGAGGGCGAACGCGAACCCGCAATTCGAACTTTCCGCCTCAAGAAGCCCCCTGGAGGCCGCAGGAGGCCGCCCAAAGCTTCCCAACGAATCCCCGAAACGACCGCAGAGGCCTCCAACAGGCCCCCATGAAAGCGACTTGGGCCGCTGATAGGCACAGGGGGCCCGACAACCAACTTTTGGACGGGGCGAGCGGCTCCCAATCCGACCCACATGCACCAAGAACTCTCCACAGCCGCGCCTGTTTGTGGGTGCCGCTGAGCATCTCGATGAAAGGGGGGAGGGGGCGCGAGGATCCCGTCCGCCACCTCAGCATCGACTCGCATCAGTAAAGCCTGCGTTGCCGAGCAGCTTCTGGCACCTGCAGGCGGGCCCACGGCGTTGCAGTGCAGCTCGAGCTTGGTCCGGAGCCGGTCGGCCGAGGCCCGCGCCCCAGAAGCCCCGCGAGGACATCCGCCCTCGCAGTGCGATGCTCCATGCCGCCGTCAGCTGATTGCGGGCGGCGCCGCGCCCGCCCGCCTGGTCGCGCGCGCCGCCCGCGCCAATTTGGACAGAACAACTGCGGGCGCCAGGGAGGAGGAGGGGGTTGAGGAGGACGCGGACGAGGAGGAGGAGAATGAGGAGAAGAGGAGGAGGAGGAGGAGGAGGAGGAGGAGGAGGAGGGAGGAGGAGAGGAGGAGGAGGAGGAGGAGAGGAGGAGGAGGAGGAGGAGGAGGAGGAGGAGGAGAGGAGGAGGAGGAGGAGGAGGAGGAGGAGGAGGAGGAGGAGGAGGAGGAGGAGGAGGAGGAGGAGGAGGGAGGAGAGGAGGAGAGGAGGAGGAGGAGGAGGAGGAGGAGGAGGAGGAGGAGGAGGAGGAGGAGGAGGAGGAGGAGGGAGGAGGAGGAGGAGGAGGAGGAGGAGGAGGAGGAGGAGGAGGAGGAGGAGGAGGAGGAGGAGGAGGAGGAGGAGGAGGAGGAGGAGGAGGAGGAGGAGGAGAAGGAGGAGGAGGAGGAGGAGAGGAGGAGGAGGAGAGGAGGAGGAGGAGGAGGAGGAGGAGGAGGAGGAGGAGGAGGGGGAGGAGGGGAGGAGGGGGAGGAGGAGGAGGAGGAGGGAGGAGGAGGAGGAGGAGTAGGAGGAGGACGAGGAGGAGGAGGAGGAGGAGGAGGAGGAGGAGGAGGAGGAGGAGGAGGAGGAGGAGGAGAGGGAGGAGGAGGAGGAGGAGGAGGAGGAGGAGGAGGAGGGAGGAGGAGGAGGGTAAGGGGGGGGGGGAGGGCAGCCGCCACGAGACCTCGACGATCATCCGACAGTCCTCCGACGCTCAACGCAGGAGCCAGCGCGGACTGCGCCGAATGACGCCCCCGCCGCAAATTCGGAATTACATGAATGTGCGCGCGCGCCAGCGGCAGCGGCGGCAGTCGCGATTCGACCCCTCCCACCCAATCAAAGCAAGAGGGCTGACCCGCGAGATTCGCAGCGCCGGTCGCGGCGATGGATCCGCTGGCAACCGCCCCCCGTGGCCATGGAGGTCGCGACCGAGTTTGCGGCGGCGAGAGTAGCGGTGGCGTCGATGGCGGCCGCGGCGTAGCTGGAGCCTAGGCGCGCTCGCAAAGAGCGCGTTCGGGTCAACATCCGTTGCGCAAGCTACGTTGCGCAATTCATGCGGCGCCATCCGTGTTGCGCAATTTCAGCCGCGCAGTCTAACTGGTGCAACTTAATTGGTGCGCTGCGCGTGGCGATCAACACGGTGCAGAGTATGCGGTGCGATGTACGTTGTGCACCTTGTGCGGTGCATTTTACGTGGCGCGACCTGCGTTGCGCAATTTGCGTGGTGCAAATTCTGCGGTGCTGCATTGGCTGCGCAGGCGATGTGGTGAAACATTCGTGGTGCAATATTTGCGGTGCAATCTATGCGGTGCAACCTCCGCGGCGCAATGCGTGGCGCGCAATTTATGTGGTGCAAGATGTGTGCTGCAACTTTTGAGGTGCCACCTACATTGTGCAGTTTAATTTTGTTCGCAAGGAGTTTCCAATTCCACTGTTCGCGCAACCATCCCACCCGCACACCCGCAACTTGGTTTGCAACACCCCTGCGGCGACGATTGCGATGCGTGCTCGGCGTTGGTTTGCGCATCCCTGCGCCCGCGCATGCTTGCGCGCGAAACGGCCATCTAGCTTTGCGCGACCGACGTGGCCGCGGTGGCGCTGGCCGCTGAGCACGTCCCAGCGGGCACTTCATTGCGAGTCGGCAACTTGGGCGGGCACGGTACCATGGTATCGTCGACAATTGTAGACACGATGATGGAAGCAACGATGCTGGCGACGATGATGATTTCGACGTTGGCAAAACCAGTGTCGGCGCCGATGCTGATCACACCGGCGACGATGACGGCGTTTTCGCGTCGGTGTTGAACATGTTGTAAGAAGTTCGACATGCGCGCGCGGCCCGCGCGCGAGAGTGGCCCGCATAGTATTATTGGACACGGATCGCGCACTTCCCCAGCACGCGCGCAAAGGCGTTCGAATAGTGTCGACATCGGCGTGAAAAGGCAGGTTGGCCGACTTGGATGAATATGCTGAGAGAGTAGCTGTTTAGTAACAGTTCGCAGAAACGCGAGCGCAGGCATTCTTGGAAACTCACGTTTCCAAACCCAGTGTTGTTGTAATGCATTTTCGGGGCGCTCGATTTGCAAGGCCCTGCGAAAACTATTGTTTGTGAAAAATTTCCGCATGCGCGCGCGATAACGCGCGCGCGCAGTTCGTCCCAGTTTGTTTTGTAAGGGACTCTTGCGACAGCTCGCGCGCCAGGGCCTCCGAAAGATTTCGACGCGCGCGCGCGAGCGGCACGTTTTGTCGGATTTGATGCTTCACGAAACCCGTTCCTTTTGAAGGATTGCATTGCGCCGAATTTTTTGTTACAGAGGACATGTATGAAATCTGAGCGTGGGAAAACTCGCGCATACAATTCTTCGACGAACCTGAGGAAGGGTGCCGATGCCGGCTCCCTTGGGGTGTATGGGTTCATATGTAGGATGGGCGATGAAGCAGAATCGTGTGAAATTGCAACACGGAAAGGAGATCGTTGATTCTTGGGGGGCCCTAGCATTTTCACCAGCCAGGATAATGTATGTGGAGCAATAGCTGTGGCGCGATCTATGTGGTGCAATGTACGTGGTGCAGTCCATAGTGTGCATTCTACGCGGTGCATCTTATGTGGTGCGTGTCTCGTGGTGCAACCGGTGCAATGTATGTGGTGCGAGTTATGTGAGGTGGTGACGGCGCGCCCGCGGGGCGGCGTCGGCGGGAACATCGCCGCCGAACCGAGCAGGTGGCCCCGACGACGGGCGGCGACAGGGAGGCGACGGAGTGCACATGGCCGTTGGACCGACCATGCGGCCCAGTTTTTTTAAGACCACCATTTGGGAATACGAAGTTGCATTTTTTTATCAGACGGCCAACGGGCGGGCGACACGGACACGCACACGCACACGCACACCGATACACACACACACACACGCGTTGTCTCTCGCGCCGATATGCAGCACGATCCCTCCGAATGCAGACACACGTGCAGGTTCTCCAGAGAAAAGAGCACACACCATGCCGCAGCATCTGCACCTGTGTGTGCTTGACCACAACAGCCAAATTTTTCACGATTGTCGCATCATCGCCGACACCGTTATAATACATTTCGATCCGCGTGGATGCCCAATGGCTCACATTTCACCAGCCACCAAACCACCCCAACCCAACCCGAAGCCCTCAATTTGCCTTCCATTTCCAGTGGGCGGGGGTCGGGGAACGTTCAACAAATACATGGTATCCGTATCCCCCCCCAACCCGAAATTCGTGGCAAATTCGGGTCTTCGGGTTGGGTTGGGGTGGTCTGGTAGGTAGTCAACATTACACACCAAGACCGATTCCGGCCAGGCCAGGTTTGCTTTGACACTCAGGCGCCGTGAGAAAATCACGACGGAGCGGTTGTGGCAAGTTGTTGCTTCTGGCGGCCCTTGCCGGGCCCCTGGGGCCATGAAAAAGACCCGGGATGAGAAGCCGGTCCCAGGTCGGAGGGAGGAGGAACGACACCAACACCACCTGGGGGCCCACCTCCAGCGAAGAGGCCCGCGATACCTTCCCGAGCTGGAGACTGGGGATGTCTCGAGCGAGCGAGGGGGGACCGCACCAGCTCATGCATCTCATCGCCCAGCTTTGTTCCTGCCAGGGATGGGGTCGAGATTTCCGGGGCCCACGTTGCGAATCCTGGATCCTGGCGTCGGAGGTCCGAGGTTGGTGCTATCCACCAGCGCGGTCCGCGCTGCAACAAGTGTAGCTTGTCGCCAAGGCCCGAGTCTGGAGTGAGAGCTCTTGACCATCGGCGGGCGAAGAGTTGCATAGCTGGTCCCGCGTGCCGCGGACGACCGATTAGGATGCAGAAGTACCCTGATGCGGATTCGCGAGCCTTCGTGAGCTCTCTGGGATGGCCGGCCAGCGAAGCAGGAGCGACAGCGTTGGACAAGGGTTCCCAGGGCCACATTGCGTCAAAACGAGAACGAAGACAATGGAGTATCGCGTTGATATCGGCATTGCAACGAGGACGAAGATGACACTGACAGTCTCAAATGGCCCATGTGGAGTGATCGCGCTGTGAGTGGGTCCGCGTTATACATTCCATGTGGGACCTGGTATCCGAGGACCGCGGAGGCAGTGGATATGGGTTGTTATCTTCGGAACCTCTCAGGGCTCGACAGTGTCGACTGCCTCCCAAAGTCCTTGGAAATCGAGTCCACGGAAGGTGGATGCGTACATGTTCCTGCCGTGTCCTGCGTTTTGGTCGTTACTTGTTGTCGTCGTCCCAATACCGCGTCGGCAGTCGATAGAAGGGCATGGCGCCGTAATGCACGGACCAATTTGCATTTGTCGAATATTGTTTTCCGAGCATCTGTCCTTGAGTCTCTTATCGCTGAGTATCGTGGCATTGGCATTTGCTCTGTTATTTTGCGTCGCGCTGAGCACGCTTCATACCAGGAGACCCCAGGGGCGCAAGTTTACAACCAGACTGGCGTGAACAACGCCACTCCTTTGGTGGGAAACGGCTGAGGCTCTGGACACAGGAGGCATGAAGGATGTTGCAGTATGACGATGGATGCTGGATTTTGAGCGCAGGGGTGACCAAGACAGAATAGCGTGCAGTTGGAAGTGTGCGGTATCCTCCACGTTTGTCACGCAACCGAACGTATCATCATCCATTGACATTGCATCATGTATTGTCCAGTTGTGTGCGTTCAACTCCGCCACCGCGCTTGCGCAACAACTTAGCAGGAATGGGGCTCGAATTCTTAAACTTTCGCGTATCCCCATCCGCCGATCCAGGAATGGTACCCAGAAGCGCTTCACTTCGCGGGGGAGCGCGGCATCACGTTGAGAGCTCGGGGAGCCTCCGTGTGCCAGAAACTTCTTGGATGCCTCTCGGAGTCTCTTGGGATGCCTCCCGCGGTTTCCTCAGGGTTTCTTCGGTAGCCTTGGGTGCCTTGTCGGAGGCCTCTTGAGACTCCTTGAGGGCTTCGTGGCGGTTAGATCCTCTTTTGGCGCGTTGGATGCTTCTTGAGGGCCTCTTGGGGGTTTCTTGGGGGCCGGTTGGTGCCTCTTGGGGCCCTCTCAGGTGCCCGTCGGGCTGCCAGGGAGCTATCGTGGCGGCACCTTGGGCCATCCTGGGCGGCCTGAAAGTCAACCTAGCGAGAACGTCACAACCCGTCAACATCGAACGGCGTGTCAATGATTTGTCCCTCCGCTGGCTTTTCAGGGATGCCTGTTTGAGTCCTCTTTGGCCGTCTTGGGCGCCTCTTCCGCCGTGAGGAGGCCGTCTGGAAAACCTCTGGAGCCAGCATGGGCCATTTAATTTAGGTCGTATTGATGACAAGCTCGTTGTTTTAGAAGTCCTCCTGGGTGCCGTCTTGGCAGTCTGGAGGCTGAACCGAGCGCCAGATAACAACATTCAGGCGGGGGGGGTTGGGGGGTCGTGACGAGGGGGGGTCGGCCCCAGAACGAATACAGAAACCTTCCAGACAACAGAGAAGCATGACGAGAACAGCGAGGTACGATTGAATATGATTTGGTGGGCCGAAGACCTCGACGGTGGGGTTCAGGGGAGGGGGGAAGCGCGCCCTGGGCCCGGGTAACACGCCCCCCCCCGCCGAAAATGGAAAACGCCAGTCAAGACGGCTTGAGAGAGGTCCAGCACGGGTCCGAAATGGCCCAAGAGCACCCCAAGACAGCCGAAGAGGCCTTTGAAAGGATTGTCAAAGGGTTCTCGCCTGTTCTGGCTTCTGAAGGCCCAAGACGGCCCAACAGGCCCGGATCGCCCAACGACCGGCCATGGAGACCCCAAGAGGGCCTCAAGACGGCCCAAAAGAGTTTCAAGATGGCCTAACTAAGAGGGATCAAAGAGGGGCCCAGAGGTGGCCAAGAGAACTCCAAGAAGGCCATGGGAGGCCGCCACGAGGGCCGAAGAGGGCCCTCAGAGGGCCGCAAGACGCCCCAAGACGGCCCAGAAGGCCCCTAGGACAGCCCAAGAGCCTCCAAAGAAAACACCCTAGACGGCTTGATGAGAAAAGAATGCAGATTTGTTGTCGGACGTATTTCATTCTTTGTTGGGAGTGAGCCTTTTCGGGCCCAGACCGGCCAAACACGGCTCTGAGGGCCTCCGAGATTGCAGGGCGATTGCCCAGGAGGCTCCCAAGAGGGCCCCAAGAAGGCCCAAGAGGGCCCCGAGACGGCAGCAAGGAGCCCCGAGACAGGCCGAAGAGGGAGGCAAAGCACATGGAGTTCCCGTAGGTGTTTCATCCTGGCTTGGGAGCTCGCCTCTGTGGGCCCAGATCGGCTCCGAGGGCCCCCGAGATCGCCCCAGGACGGGCCGGAGGCTCCCAGAATGGCCCCAAGTTGGCCCATGACGGCCACAGAGAGCCCCCAAGACGGCCCAGCAGGGGCCCAAGCCAAGAGGTGCCCACGAGAGCTCCCAGAGTGCCGAGGGAGGCCGCGGCTCCCCGAGACGGCCCGAGAGGGCCCCAGAGTGCCCCAAGACACCCAAACGGCCCCCGGAGGACCCCCCCTGGACGGCCCAGTGACGGACGAGGCTTTGACGCCCAGGTCCCCAAGAGCATCTGGTGATCGGGAAGACCTTTTGTTACACGAGTCGGTGATGAGAAAAGCTTTGTGAACGCCAAGGGTCCCCAGAGGGGGCAGTAACACAGAAAGCTCTGAGCGCTCAGGCTCCTCAAAGCGAGCGGTGACGTAAACAGCTTGAGACGCCAAGGCTCCCAAGAGCGAACGGTGACGTAAGCAGCCCTTAATTCCAAGTAGGCGATGCAGAACAAGTTGGTCGTCTTCACCGACATTGTCGCGTGGGCGCCCCGCGTGAGGTCGCGCGTAAGCGTCCTCGTTCCAATGTGACGTGCCGCGCTGGCGGCTCGCCTAGGACCCGTTTCTTTTCGTCGCTCAGGTCTTCCCAAAGGGAACGGTGACGTGAAACACCATTCACACCAAGGCTCCCCAGAGCGAACGATGATGTGAAGGAGCTCTTCACGCCAAGGCTCCCAAAAGCGAACGGTGACTTGAAACAGCTCTTCTCGCCAAGGCTCTCAAGAGCGAACGGTGCCATGAGCCCCCTCGGGCCAGTTTCTCGTGCTGGCCCAGGTTATAACGCACCCACTCCGTGACATTGACATTGTAAACTTAGTTGTCTGTCGTTGGTGGGTTCTGGTAGTTGATGCAGACGCCGACTTCGTTGACTAAGGACGGTATTGCATGCCCAGGCTTGAGTCAGCTTCAAGCGTTTTCTTACTTCAGCAGTCGAAGGGGCGTCCGTTTCCCTTTCCCTTTCGGGGGGCGGCGGGCCGAAACATTCGAGGTTCTTGTCTCCTCCATGTGTTCCCACTCGCCCTTACTCCACCGCATTATGGTTAAGTCGGGCACGTCCTTCTACAGGAGGAATATTCAACATAAATTGTCAAAAAATAGTCGGGGGACGACTTTTTCGACTATTTTTGAAGGTTTTTGGTGTATTTTTTGGCTCTGTCTAATTTTCGTCCAGCGTCCCCCTGTAGGGGGGGCAACCCCGACCTAACATTATGGTTCCTTCTCCGTGCTGCTGCTCCGTCGTGATCTCCCCTGCCCTCAGATTCCGCACGGCCCTAATGTTTCCACCTTCCTCTTCCATGCTCCCACAAGCCAAGGTATCTTCGTGACGTGCCGACGCGGCGGCGATCCCAGCGTGTGCGTGCGAACGTCGCCGGTGGGACAGATCCCGCCGATGTCGAACGATCTTCGCCATTGGGAGGCTGTGAGCGCTCAGGGCCGAACGGTGCACGCGGTGTGGCAAGCCAGCGCCGAAAGTCTGCGCGACGTGGGGGGGGAGCCCTCCTTGTGCTCCGCATCAGCCGCGGCTTGACTTCTTGTCATCGCGAGACTTCGAGGGCCGTGGCAGCGACTTACACCAGCGGAGGTGAACGATCCTTGCGGCATCATCATCATCATCATCAGCAGCAGCAGCAGCATCAGCATCAGCATCATCATCAATCAGTATCAGCACCATGATCGTCATCGTAATCGTCATTGTCATTGTCATTATCATCGTCATCGTCATCGTCATCGTCGGTGTCATGATCGTCATCATCGTCATCATCATTATTATTGTTATTATTGTTATTATTAGTCGTGTTTCAGTGTTCATTGTTTGAAGTATCATAGGCATCGTCGTAGTCATCATCAAGAGCCTTACCATCATCACCATTATCATCATTATCATCAACATAGTCAGCAACATCATCATCATCATCATCATCATCATCATCATCATTATCAGTATCATCATCATCATCATCATCATCATCATCATCATCATCATCATCATCATCATCATCATCATCGATGCAGGTACTACCGGTTAGGCCCGAGGTGATCCGAGCCGAAACGAACGCTCTTCAAAGGCTGACCATGGGTCCGAGGCACGCCATCCCTACCATGGTCCTCAAGAACTCCCTGGACTTTGGGTTCCCTGTCGAGCCCCGCAACCTCCAGGCCACGAACAAGGCCGCGATGTTTCGGATCGCCCTCCAGAGTTCAGCCTTCGCGAGAGTGAAGGAGCGTCTGCATTTTCTTGAGCACGCAGATGTCGAACGGCTGGCTGTTGTTCGGCATAAGTCTTGGCTTGCGGAGTCTATGTGCGGCTCCCTGATTAAGAACTGGAACGAGCTCACGACGATTTGCCCGACGATCAACGAATATACGCACGACGTCCAGCGAAAAGTCACCATTGCCGTTGTCAAAAATCAGGGACGTCCTTCGATGCCAGTCCTGCTCTTGCCAAGGATTCGGAAGTTCTGGAGTGAGGCCCCCGTAAGCCACGCCGATTTTATTTTTCGAGCCATTTTCCTCGCCGCTACCAAACAAGCCCCCTTCGTTGCCTCCTCTCTCCTCAAATCTGTTTGTAACGCGTGGCCCACGTCGGCCAGATTTCGGTCAGGGAACCGTTGTTGCGTCATGGGCTGCGGTGCCGCAGACTCCGACCACATAACGCATTACTTTCAATGTCCTGTGCTGCTGCCACTGCTTCCTAGTATCATCCCGTCGCTGCCGCCTGATTTTCTCGAGTGGAATGCTCTCGATCGATTGCTGTTGAGACCTCATATGCCGTCCAGCCGAGCCTTGCATGGTACCATTCTAATGCATGATCTTTTACTCACAACTTATAACGCCATCCGTTCACAGTCGTCTCAGGCAGGTCCTGTCAGGGTGGAGGCCTTGATGCGGGCGAGGGCCCGTGCAGTAGCCAAGCGCAAGAGGGCCATTCGCGAGCTGCTGAACCAAGGCACCTAGCCCCCTATGGAGCCTGACATCATCATCATCATCATCATCATCATGATCATCTTCATCTTCATCATCTTCATCATCATCATCGTCATCATCATCATCATCACCACAGCCATACGGAGCTCCACCGAAGGCCTCAGTCCGCCCGCATGAGGACTTACGCCCATCTCGGGATACCCCGCATGTTTTTCGTTGGCCCCATAGAGGCCTCCGCCGACGGCCCCAGTCGCAGCGCCCGCGGGCAGACCCGTGCTCGTTTTTGCGCACCTTCGCACGCCTCGCGGTGCACAGGCAGCTCCACCGAAAGTCCCGTCGCGGCGCCCCCCCGCCGACTCGGCCCCATTCTGGCACACACACACACACACACACGCACCACACCTCGCACGCTTCGTCTTGGCATCGCTCGGACGTGTGCATTTTTCCTTCGGCAAGGACCATCGAGGAGCATCCTTGATCACTTGGCGAAACAACCACGCACGAAACCGAAAAAAACACAGGGAATGGACGTCCGAGCGATGGCCAGTCGTGGCCTCCTGGGGAGCTCCATCGAACGGCCCCAGGTGCGGCGCCCGCCAGCGGGGCCGGGCCCACATCTGCCAACCCCCTCAAAACGCTTCGGTGTCTGTTTCCGGGGAGCGCCACCGACGGCCCCAGCGGCAGCGCCCGCAGGTGGACCTGGGCCCAGTTTGGGTTGACCCCTCACACGCTTCGTCGCCTCGAGTTCCAAGCGAGGCCCGAGCCGAGGTCGGCTGCCTTTTGGCACACTCTTCACGCGTTTCGTGGCCTCGTAGGTTGAAGGCATCCATGGGCCACTGTCCCATGTTGGGGGCAGACACAAACACGATGAGGAAGGTAATAGGAAGGTTGGTTTACAATGGCGAAGATGGTGAACTCGCGTCGGGGTGTAGCAGCTTGCGCGGTCGCGGCAAACGTGTCGATCGCGATGCTGATGACAATGATAATAATAATGCTGATATTGATAATGCTGATGATGATGATTGAATTGCCGTTGCTGATGCTGATGCTGATGTTGATGTTGATTATGATGCTGTGCTGATGATGGTGATGGTGCTGGTGATGGTGCTGATGATGGATGGTGATGGAGATGGTGATGGTGATGGTGGTGATGATGACGATGTTGATGACGATGACGATGATAATGACAAGGATGACGACGATGACGATGACGATGCTGATGACGATGATGATGACGATGATGGAAAGGATGATGATGCTGATGCTGATGCTGATGATGATGATGGTGGTGATGTTGCTGGTGTTTGTGATGGTGGTGATGATGGTGATGATTGTGACGGTGGTGGTGATTATGGTTGTGATTATGCTGATGGCTGTGATGATGATGATGATGATGCTGATGATGCGTTGACAAGTTTTATGATGATAATGATGATTATGCTTATGATTGTGATTACGATGATGACGACGATGGCAATGACGATTGCGAGTTCGATGGCAGCGACGATGACGATTATGATGATGTTGACGATGACGATGATGATGGTTATGTTGGTGATGATGATACTCATGATGATGTTGATGATGACGACGCCGACGAAGATGACAATGACGATAATAATTACATCGATGTTGATGCTGATTATGATTATGATGATGATGATATTGATGGTGGTGGAAGTGACGCTGCTGCTGGCGGTGGTGACGATGATGATGATGATGCTGATGATGTTGATGATTCTGCTGATGATGATGATGATGATGATGATGATGTTGATGATGCTGCTGCTGCTGCTGATGATGATGATGATGATGATGATGATGATGATGATGATGATGATGATGATGATGGTGCACATGCTCTTGATGCTGCTGATGGTGATGATTCTGATGACGGCGAGGACCAGGAGGACGAGGAGGAGGTGGAGGAGAGGAGAGGAGAGCAGGAAGACGACGACGAAGAGAGTGAGAGGGAGGAGGAGAGGCAGGAGGAGCAGGAGGAGGAGCAGGAGATGCAGGAGCAGGGGCGCAGCGGGCGAGGGAGGAGGAGGAGGAGCAGCGGCAGCAGCGGCGTGTCCTACGTTCTGGCTGCGCACCACATCTTGGCCCCGAACGTCTTTTCGGAGACAGGATGCCCAGAATCCCTCGCGTTGTGAAAAAAACCCTCTCGTTGTGAAAACATCACGACGGGAGGTTTTTCGCTATCTCCGGCCCCCGGGAGCCCTCACCGGGCCTCGGGACCGTCAAAACATGGTTCAGAATGAAAAGCCGTCCCGTGGAAGGGGTCCAGACCTTTGGGGGTCGGAGTTATAAAAAAAAATGACGTCGGGGCTCTGGGGGCCCAGAGAAGGACCAAATTCCGTCCAACGAACTGAATATTCGATTCTCGTTTGCCGTGGAGCTAACGGGTCCTGAGGGAAACGGGTCCTGGAGCAAACGGGTCCTGCGGGAACCGGGTCCATTCACGGGCCAGGCCCCAGGACCGTCACCCAAAAGCGACCCTGGATAAAGAGTTGGTTCTGTGGGAATGTCCCGGGGTACAGGATTAGTCATTTTGCGAGGGTCGCAGAGGATAAGGATGAGCAGGAGGAGGGAGAGGAGTTTGCTCCTGAATCTGCCGAAAGTGCTGCTCCGCAGACCCGGAATCTCTCAGGCCCACGTCGTGATTTTTGCCACGACGTGGCCCCCTGTCGGGACCCCTTCCCAGGGGCCAGCTCTTCATCCAGAAATTTTTGTTGGCGGTCAGGGGCCCCGCAGGGGCCCCTGGAGTGTGTTCATTGCAACGACCTGCGACCCGAGGGTGCCAGGGTTCCACTCCGTCTTCCCTCTTTCTTACTGGAAAGTGCCGGACACCGTCCGCTCTGAGTTTCTCGCACCCCGGAGGGGACAGTTTTTGAAGGGCCGCCGATTACACGGGTTGTCGGGCTCGCTTCCCCCTCTCCTTTCCCGCCAGATCATTTGACCTTGTTTGTCGCGCAGGTCCGAAGAGGGTACGCGGTACTGGCGCGCGCGGGCATACGTGGAGCTTCCCAAAGAGAAACCATTCGGTTCTCGGCCAGCTCTTTCCCCCCTCTCCCCTCCCAGCAGATAGCCAGTCAGGGGAGGGACAGGCCTGGCGACAATACCTGGGGATCGAGGAGGAGCCGCAGGGTATCCTCCTCTTCGCGGACACCCGCTGCCCCGGGCGGCTCGGAGTCGATGGCGACGTCGGCGCCGTCTATCTGGGCTTCCTAGTGCCTAGTCCTAGTGGTCGGAAGATCGCGTCGCATCGCCGATATGGAGCCCGAGCTTCTCCGCGCTGGCGTCGCCGACGTCGCTGTTGCGGCGAGATCCTTCGACCCCATCCACTCGGACCCCGTGTGGGAGGCCCCCGGTCTTGCCGCGGAGGCACTGCTGGCGCCTCCAGAGTCTAGAGGTCCTCGCCGCCGTTGCGGGGCGCGGCTCGAGACTCAGGGGCTACCTCACCGACCCCTGGCAAACCATCCATCCCCTTCCGTGACGCCCACCCTCGGGAGCTCGAGAGGCGAGGATGACGTCGCGGAAGGGGATGGTTTGCCAGGGGTCGGTTCGGCCGCGCCCGAGAGACGCCTCCCCAAAGCCCCCGCTGAAGCCTCCTCCTCGTAGTGCTCACGTACGATACTTTGCCTGTGTGCCTTTCGATACTGTTACCACTGTCACCACATACACCCGAGAACAGCGGAGGTTTGTTGAGGGTGTAGGGGATGAGCGGAATTTGTAATGACCACTGGTACTCCCGCTGGGCGAAAGATCTAAAACAACAACGTCCTGCGCCTCGCGCGCAAGAGCTGCCTTGCCTTGTTTTGTGCACCGGCAGGTACCTGCAGCGCACCCTGGCATGTACCTGCAGCGCACCACTGATAATGGCACGCCATCCAGGGAGGGACTCCTGGGTGGGGAGCGCTTAGAAACAACGAAACACGTGCCAGGTCCAACGGAGGTCCTCCAGAAAGAACCCTGCGGAGGAAGTGGGAGGAGAGATTAGGAGTAGGAGGAGGAGGGTGAGGAGGACGAGGAAGATGAGGAGGAGAAGGAGGAGGATAATGAGGAGGATAATGAGGAGGAGGAGGAGGAGGAATGAGAGGGAGGAGGAGGAGGAGGAGGAGGAGGAGGAGGAGGAGGAAGAGGAGGAGGAGGAGGAGGAAAAAAGGGAATGAGAGAGGAGCAAGGATGGAGGAGGGAGGAGGGAGGAGAGAGGCGGAGGGGAGGAGGAGGAGGCGGAGGAGGAGGAGGAGGAGGAGGAGAGCAATCATGGAGCAGGACGCGGATGAATGAGGACGGAGGACGGAGGAAGAGGGAGGAGGGAGGAGCAGGGGGAAGAGGAGGAGAAACGCGAGGAGGGACGAGGAGGTTGAGTGAGGAGGAGCCCACGCATGGAGGAGAATTGGAGGAGGGAGGAGGGAGGATGGAGGGAGGAGCTCGCCTCAATCTCCTGCGTTGGTCGCGGGGCTGTCCTGCTGGGCTCGGCCAGGACCCGGGGGCCTCGGACTACACCATGAAGCAGGTGCTCGGCAGCCTGGAGGGCCAGGGCCTGGGGGTCGTCGAGGTTCGAGGGTCGAACTCCCCAGAGATCCAACGCATTGAAAAAAAACAAGGCGGAGGTTTTTCGCAGTGTTCGGCCTCCAGGGGCCCTCGCCGGGCCCAAGGACCGTCAAACGAGTATTCAGGATGCAACATCGGTTCCTGGGAATGGGTCGAGACTTCCGGGGACCCCGCATTGAAAAATCACGGCATCGGATCTTCGGGTCGCAGGCTAATCTTCACCCCAACCCCCGACTTTTGACGAGAAATGAAGCCGCTCAGAGAAGGGGGAAATCCGGGGATACACCCCACGGCTGGATTCGCCGCGGAATTCTGAACAGAAAGCACTTGGAGAGTTTGACGGGCCGATGATTTGCCCCAACCTCCTTCCCCGACCCCCTTTCGCCATGAAAAGCAGCCCGGATGATTTGCTTCCATGTTCGACATGTGGGGATCCTTGAAGGGCCCCGGGGGCCGTCAACGTCGTTGCTCCTCACTTGGCGTCTTGGTTACCATCGTCGTCGTCGTGGTCGTTTTCATCTGTTTCTCGTGTCGGCGCCGTTTCCCCCGACCTCGCCCAGGCAACGAGCGAGGCCTGCTTGCTCAGTGTGCCGCCCGCCCGCCTGCTTCGATGTTCCGCCCGCCTGATCCGCCCGCTTCAGAGGCCCATCTGCCCGACCTGCCCGCCGCTTGTGAGGCTCTGCCCGCGCGTCGACTGTGCAGTCGCCGTCGTCTGTGTCGTCAGCGTCGACGTCGTCGTCGTCGTCGTCTGGCGGCGCGCGAGGGGGGGTTCTCGCAGGAAGGGGGGGGGCTCTTGATTCCCAGGTGGTGAGGGGGGGCTCCAAGCCAAGCGCCCGTGGTAGACGTGATCTCCCTTGGCTGCGCACGCACGCATGCGTGCGTCACCCATCATGTGTTGTCGTGGGCAGACAGTCTGGTCATCAATGGTATGCCGTTGTGCGCGCATCCATTGAGTTGCCGCCTTTGATGCGTTGCTTCACTCTCGGCCACACAGACTACCACATCATGTGACTGCTTGTGGCTCCGTATCTAACTCGTACACGCAGGTTTGAACCTGAGGAATTCCTTGTTCGCAATTATGTTCATTTGCCTTTCCTCGTCGTCCTCCGCCTCCTCATCCCTTCTCCTCCTTCTCTTTCTTTTTCTCCTCCTCCTCCTCCCCCTCCTCCTCCTCCCCCTCCTCTTCCTCCTCTTCCTCCTCCTCCTCCTCCTCCTCGTCCTCCTCCTCCTCCTCTTCCTCCTCCTCCTCGTGGCTGGCCGACGGGTGCTGTGGTAGGACCTCACATTCCCCACCGCGTGCAAGGTCGGCGGCGTCTGCGCACCGTCTCGGGAGGGCCTGGGGGCATGTATTGCAAGTGGGTCTGCGTGCACAGACGGCGATGGAGGAGGAGGAGGAGGAGGAGGAGGAGGAGGAGGAGGAGGAGGGGAAGGAGGAGGAGGATGAGGAAGAGGAGGAGGAGGAGGGTGAGGGTGAGGGCCACCGAGAGCGCGTCCGATCCGAACACGCCTCAGGAACAGATGGGACCCTGAGGGCCGCAACGCGGCGGAAATATTATGTACTGAGAGGGCAGGCGGGGGCCAGGGAAAACCGACGCCACGAAACCGCTCCCAGGAGGGCGAGACGAGTTACGTCTGCGCCTTGCCCTCGGGGCGCTTGGGGCGCCCTTGTCGGCCGTGGAAGATCCTATCGATCAACCCCAGCTGATTGGCCCTCGTGCTCGGATTCTCTGAGAGCCCAGCACAGGGACGACGGAGCTTCCGAACGCTCCGTGACGTCTCGAGGGTCGTCGTGCCAGCACACTTACGGCAACAGTAGACCGAATTCACGCAGAAAACGTCATGGCCCAATGCCGCAAACTCGGCAATGAGCTCGTTCGACCCCGAACTGTTTGAAACCTCGCCTACCGCAGGCTCCTGGGGAGGGCCCGTGGGCCCAGGAAGGGGTCCCTTCGAGGCCTCGGAAGGCCCTTCCCCCAAAAAATCCGCGACAATCACCTGTGACGGGGCGATGCGGGGGTCCGACACTTTGACCCAGACCTCCACCGAATTCTTAAACCATTCCGCACAGGCTAAGCTCTGGAGGCTAGAGGGCTCACATTTCCTTCCCGACCCCGTCCTAAGCCACGCTAGGGTCGAGTCCGATCGAGCCGATCTCCCACATCTCCTGCACCTGTGCTCTTTGAGTCTCTTGCACCACCAAAGATCATGATCTGAACCCCGTCCGAACACGACTGGCTGCCCCAGGATCTCACGGGCCTCAGGATCCTGAACGGGTGGCGGGGGACCTCGGCCCCAACTCTCCGAGACAATGACACGTAAGCACGCCCACGACACAAACTGCAACGTGGCCTTATGGACCTTCAGGGCCTCCGAGAGCGACTGGGAAACCGTGTTGGCGATCATGTGGTGCGCCGCACCCGCCTTGGCGAAATAATCAGCCCAGGCATTGCCGAGCCAGTTCTCCACCTCTTCAGGATTCTCCAGCACACTGTCGAGGTCACGGTGTGCAGGAGTCCACTCAAAACGAACAGGGTACTCAAGTACCCGACGCTGCGCAGCCTGAAAAATCTCTCGCCATATCCTGGCGTGCTTGCCTCGGCCGTGCTGAAGGGATTGATCCCAGGAATTGCCCTCGGTAACCAGTCCCAGGAGGTCAGACACGAACAGCTCGTGATCAGGATGAAATTCCAAACCCATTTTGATCGCATATCTCTCAGCACGGCCAACAGTCTGCACATAGAAGGGCAGGGGTCCATACACAGCACGGACAGGCAAAAGAGTCTTGGGGTCCAGCTGGATGCATGAATACCCACACCGCCTAGTCTCTGGAACACTGGAGGCAAGGCCCGAACCGTCGGTGTAGCTCTTGGGGCCCCAAGGCCCGTCGGTGTCGCCCCATAGGAGAACTTCTGAGCTTATAGTGTCGAGCCCAGGAATACCCACAGGAGGAGCAGGGACCCCGAAGACCAGATAATTGGAATCCCAAGCCAGACGCCCATCATACCATTCGCCCCCCTTCAGGAGCATGCCTCTGGTTGCCTCCAAGTCCTCTGAGATGTCCAAGAAGTCCTCGCGCTGCGTGAGCAGCTCGGGGCAGTCGTAGAGCACGTGGCCCCAAATACCCTGAGACTGGGCCCCACAAGCAGCACACGGCCTGATTGGTACCTTATGACGGGCATCTTGGAGCTGAGGGATGGGGGGGTTTCCCGACCAGTGCGCTTGGAGGGCCCCGAGTCTACGAACACACTTGATACTCTTCACCGAGTTGCGTAGGCCTCGGTGCCATATCTGCTCGCCAGGCTCAGCAGTGTAAAAATGCTTGAGCAGCCGCTCGTCCTGCCAACGCTGGATCCCCTGGGTGAGGAAAACCTTCAGGTCGGCAGGGCACATAACGCGCAAGTCGAAAACATTGCCTAAATCATCAGCCACCATATGACTAGATACTAGATTCTACCCGATACGTCGTAAGGTCAGCCAACAGGCCCCGATCGGGCCCCGAGTATTTGCCCAAGACAGTGTGCCACTATTATCTCGAAGAGCCTCCCAAGCCCGATGTAAACGACTGTCGGGTATTCTCCCGTCCCAGACCCACTCCGCAAACTTGACGACAATGGCTAGAGTGGCGTGGTAAATAGGATCGTAGAAATCGCTCTTGTGGCTAATCAAGTAGGCGGTCACACCAGTGTTAAATCTAGCTGGCGCGCCATTCAAGACGGCGGCGAAAAGACGCAACCCTCGAAGTGCAACGTCGCTTACTCCAGCAACTGCAGCACCGTGCGCCACTGATGGAAGGGCGCCTGTGCGCCACAGAGCCGTCGCGACCTTGCCGACCGCAGACTTCAGCATGGAAAACCTCGCCTTCCTCTCCCTGAGCTGTTTGAGACGCTTCTTTTCCATGCCCCGAATCACCTTGGGCCCCGTGAGCTCGTGACATAGGTTCCTCATGTGGCCCTTGTACGGGATCTTCATGGAGCCCATGTGGCGCTGCACCCCCTTCCAGAACTTCCGAGAACCAACGACAGCCCCAGACTTGGAAGCCTTCAAGATCATGCCGAGACCCTTGGAGTCCTGGATGAAACCCCTCGCAGCCAGCGCAAGGTACTTGGCCCCCGTAGGGTCCTGGGAGGTATGTTGGAGCCCAATGTCGCCCATTAGCGTCCTCGGGGTCACCGCGGGGGAGACCTTCGAGACCCTCTGCACCGACCTATAGGTGAGCAAGTACAAGACGTAAGTAGCGTGAGTGCACCCAGCTAGGATCCTTTGGAAGGACCGAAACGCTCTGGATACACTCCCAAAGGCCCTTATACGACGGGGCTGTTGGTAGCTCTGAATGAGGAGCCAAAGCAGACGTAGTGGAAACCCCAGAGCCTGGCCTTCTCGGAGCAACGCATGTGGGTCCACCATGTCGTAACATTTGCTCATATCAAGCAAGATCGTACATGTCTGCTCCCCCAACAACTGCGCAACCTCCTGCTGAATATTATGATCAAGCGCCGAGTCCGTAGACGTGTGGCCCGCTCTCGTGCCCCACATCTGGTCGCACTGGTAGCCAGCCTGCCACGCTGCCGAGACTGGTCTCCTGAGCTTGCCCCAGATTCGCACCAAAGCGTGCTATAGCACAATCAATCGTGTGTCCCCGTCAGGTTTAGGTAAGCGAACCATTTCACTGTAAACCCGCTCAGGAGGCCAGGACAGCCACTGCTCGAAAAGCATAAACATCTTGGCCATGCGCTCGAGCGCTTGGTCCGACAGAGCGTCCAGGCATCGGGGTGAGATTCGGCTCGGCCCAGCTGCCGTACGCGTCGAAAACTTGCGAATGGCAGCCCGCACTTGCTGGTGGTCGAGCTCGGGCAGAGCAGGCCAGCTCTCATGGCCTGGCGGCAGCCCTGGGGGCGACAGGTCGTGGTGCCGCCATGCACCTTCCCACGCGTCAAGGGTGTGGTTTGCCAGCAGGTACGGCTGAGCGTTCACGTCGAAGTTGAGCTGCTCCTGCTTGCCGCGCACCTTGGAAGCTGCATGGGCCCGACTGGCCCCTCCTAGAAAAGCCTGCTTGGCCCGGCCGCGCCAAGCCTTCTCCGAGACCCCTCTCGCTGCCTTCAACACCGCATCGGCCTTCATCGTGATGTTGTCCAGGCCCGAATCGAAGTCGGCGTCTCCGATCATGCCCAGGCCTCGCAGCAGGAAGTCGACGGTGTCCTGATCTAGGTAGTGGCATGTCTTCTTGTCGCGGGCGATCCTACGGCAATATTGGTCCACCTCGTAGAAGGCCTGCAACACCTTGGTGTACTGCAGGGGCGTTAGCTGGCAGACCACCGAAGCCAACTGTAACCGTTGACAAAACCTGCCCAATCGGTCCCGCTCCGACCTGAGATGCTGACACCATCTCTTGACCGTCGCCCACGCATAGACCTTTGGCCCGCGGTAAGTACGACGGCGCGGAGGTTCCCATGCCAGCAGCTTCCACTTGAAACGTGGAGGGCCTGACCTGCCAACGAAAGGGACCGCATCCTTGTCAGCCTTGTCATAACGCCCTGCCAGCTCGAAATCGACTCCGTCCAGGACCGTGTCCCACAGCAGGGCCAAATCCGTAACCTCTTTCACTTCCAGAAAAACATGATCCACTGCCTCCCACGGGTACGGGAACCTGGCACACCCACATGGCGGAGTAACAGGGAAAGCCCTTGGCCCGTCTGGCACGAGACACCATGCTGGCCTATATTTGCCCAGAAGGTCAATGCTAACTGGGCAATGCGGAGGAGGTATTGTGCCGTACATGTCCTCCACCACTGCGGCCCCGAGCCTTGACGACAAATTTGCACACGCGATGAAGTAGTCAATCTTAGACTTGCCGTCATCCTTGCAGCACGTGGCCGACGATGGCGTGCAAGACAACCCAGCCAGAGACTCAATCCACCTCCTCGCATTCAGAGCTGCTATGTCAGAATTCCAATCACCTGCTAAGATCCAATCGAAACCCGCAGCATTCCAGGTCGCAACTCTCTGCGCTATGGCCCACAGTATGGAAAGCTTCTCACCCGTCAGACCAATGCTAGTCACTAAGTATGCACTGACCACAATCACCCCACCAGGAACGCCCCAATTGACAAAACTGGCAACCCTCTGCCTGGGTAGATGATGGGGTCGCCGTCAGGAGGCTTCGTGATCATCACATTCGTGGGCACCAATATTGCAACCCCGCAGTGATTGGCCTGCGGGCCCTTGGCATTGGTCGCCAGGGCTGGTGCCCACATCCCGTGGAAGCCGAGGTCCTTGGCGCGGTGCTGGAACTCCCCGAGGCGTGACTCCACAATCCTCGTCTCCTGTGCACAAATGATCTTGGCCTTCACCACAGCCAGGAAGTCGAACAGTGGCCCGAAGGAACCTGCATTCACCGACATAATTGTTCCCGCGATGGCGGGTGAAGAAGATTTTCCCTCCAACTCGCCCGTCTTAGATATATCGGACCCGACGCTCATGCTACCGCGTCCGAGATCCAAATGTTCATCAGCGGGGGCGGAGGGAGATGACAAGGCTGCACCTGCAGCCCCATCGCGTTCTGACTGACGTATTTCCAAGGGGTTCGGGCAAATAGTGGGGAAGAGGTCGTCAGCTTCTCGATCTTCATCAAGAAACTCGAAAGGGTCGTACTCCCCGTCCATGTTTGATCCCACCATGGCCCCAGTAGGTCGGTACCCTCTGCCGTCCGATGTCGGGGCAGGCTCGCAGCGAGGCGAAGAGGGTGAGTGGTGCGTGCCGTGGGGGCCCATGGCCTCCCGCGGTCGGTACTCTCCGCCCTCAGTTGTACTCGATGCTGCTTGCCCGCTGTCGACGGACGGTGAGCAGTGCGTGCCTCCTGGGGCTGAGAACGTCGTAGATGCACACCCCATCTGTGACGCAGAAGCCGCACTCTGCAGGGTGCGCGATGCACGGGGTTCCACCTCAGCGCTCTGCTCGGCAGGCCGAGTGAGCATTGCTGAGGGTAGCCAACCCGTGCCAATACCATTCTCATCCCAAGAGACATGTGCCGATGACGCGGACGAAGCCGCCCCCTGTGACGTACACGATGCACGGGGTTCCGCCCCAGGCCTCTGCTCGGCTAGCCGAGTGAGCCTCCCTGGGGGTAGCCAACGCGTGCCAATAACCTCGGACTCATCCCAAGAGACACTTGCCCACGGTGTAGTACTCGCCACCGACGCCGTAGTCCTCGCAGGAGTCGTAGATGAAGCTGATACCCCGCTTCGAGGGGACACATCATTGCTTGCCGTCATTGCTGCAGAACTGAGTAACATTCCAATCCCGATACTGACGAATCTATTGTTTGCGAGCCCTCTTGCACGCCTCGATGTACGTCGTCTGGAACCGCTTGAACCTCTCCGTGACTGCCTCGGCAGAGACGCTTTCGTCCGTGGGGATTCCTGCAGCATTGGGCGTGGGCCGCATGTCCTCCTCCTCCATCTCGATGTCTGAAATTTCGTCGTCTTCAGGCTCTTGTGCAGGTGGCTCTGGAGTCTGGGGCGAGGGTGGCTTTGCCTGCGGCGCCTGCTGCAGCTTGGTGACCGTCTCCGCCATAGCTTGTAGCCCAGCCGTAAGATCAGGCCCCATGCCCAGAGTACTGGCGACTCGCCCCAGCTGTTCCACCGACACAGCGAACCCAGGAAGCATCTCATGGAGCGTGGGCGGCCGTTCCTGCTCTGGCGGGCGGGCCTGGGACATGGCTTTGCGCGTCTCCTCCTCGAGCCTGACCACCTCAGCGGAAGCCTCCACGAGCTTAGCCTCAGCTTTGTCCAAATGTCCCTGCATCTCGAGGATCTTGGCTCTCTGCTCCTCGACCGCCTTGCGTACGCTGGACTCCTGGGACCTCGCATGCTGGAGCTTCGCCGCCAGCGATCGAGCCTGGTCCTCAATCGGGCGTCCGTCGAACAACTCCCGCTCCAAGGTCTCCTTCTCCTTCTTGAAGTTGGCCAGCATCGTCGCATCCCTGTCGGAAGAGAGCATGCGCATGATGCCGTCCAACTCCTTGATGCGCTTGCGTTTCTCCTCAGCTCCGTCGGGCTGTGACTGCGCCCATGGTGGTGGAGGTGAGGGCTCAGCCTTCTCCGCGGTGGGCCTCTTGATCTGTTCTTCGGGCCGTGCACACCGAGCTGCGAGGCCTTTGTCCACTGGGCTGGGGCCCTTGGTACCCGCAGCATGGACGCGGGGGGTTTTGCCTCGCTTGTACTCTTTGAACACCACCGACTTATGAAGCTGACACTGCTTGCAGTACAACGTTCCTCCTGCATTGAACCACGGCTTGCCAGTGACTGAGTGGACGCACGACTTGCATATCCACGGTTCGTCAGCAGCAACCCTCCGAGGAGCCATGGCGCGCGCAGGAGACTGGGCCACGGGCCTCTGTGCTGGGAGGCCGTGGCTGCGATGAAGAAAAGAATGCCAGGCCGCAAGCGAGCCTTGCCACGCTCGGGAAGCAGAGCGATCCCGTTTTGGCACGGAGGCGCGGACCCCCCAAAGTGCAGAGCTCTTGAGCCAAAATGGCTTGAGCCAAAATTGCTACGGAGGAGGAGGAGGAGGAGGGGACGGAGGAGGAGGAGGAGGAAGGAGGAGGAGGAGGAGGAGGAGGAGAAGAAGAAGAAGAAGACGAATACGAATAAGAATAAGAAGAATAATAAGAATAAGAATAATAAGAAGAAGAAACATAAGAAGAAGAAGAATAAGAAGAAGAAGAAGAATAATAATAATAAGAAGAATAATAAGAATAATAATAATAATAAGAAGAAGAAGAATAAGAATAATAAGAAGAAGAAGAATAAGAATAATAATAAGACGAATAATAATAATAAGAAGAAGAATAAGAAGAAGAAGAAATCGAAAAAGAATAATAATAAGAAGAAGAAGAATAATAATAATAAGAATAATAATAATAAGAAGAAGAATAAGCAGAAGAAGAATAATAATAATAATAAGAAGAAGAATAATAAGAAGAAGAAGAAGAATAATCATAAGACGAATAAGAAGAATAATACTAATAAGAAGAATAATAAGAATACTAATAAGAAGAATAAGAAGAATAATAATAAGAAGAAGAATAATAAGAATACTAAGAAGAAGAATAAGAAGAAGAAGAAGAATAATAATAATAAGAATAATAAGAATAAGAAGAATAATAAGAAGAATAATAATAATAAGAAGAAGAAGAAGAAGAAAACGAAGAAGAAGCAGACGAAGAAGAAGAGTAATAAGACAAATAAGAAGAGGAGGAGGAGGAGGAGGAGGAGGAGGAGGAGGAGGAGGAGCTGTCCGAGGCGGCTCAGACCACGGGTTTTTCCATCAGGCAGTGGCGCTTGCTGGCGGGCTTGTATCGGGCCCCGCGGGTCCTGGGCCGCGCAGGGCCCATTCGGTCCCCATCTAGTCGCGCAAAGCGCGGTCCCGCCTGGCTGCCATGTTGCCATGGTGATGCTGCAGCTACCCATCGGTCGTTGAAAGTAGGTATTTTTGGATTCCCAGATTCCAATCTACTTTCAGCGCCTTCCTACTTCAAGAGTCGAGTGGTTTTCCCTCTTCCTTCCTTTTCGGGAGGCGTGCGGAAACCCAATCTATTTCCAACGCCTTCCTACTTCATGTTTCTACCTACTTCTTCCGACCGATGGGTAGTGTTGCTCGCCCCACTGGACGCAGTCCAAGCGGCCTTCGCTCTCCGCACTGCTCGCGAGGTTCAGATTTGGGTGGTTGTTGACGACTCGGGTTTGCATGAAGTGGGGTCCTCCGAGTAGGTGCTCGGTGCGCTATGCCAGGCTACCCTCATGCTTAATGATAAGCTTGCTTGGTGAGGTCCATCTTCCAGTCAGTCAGCCCAAATTGCGCGTGGCCGCCTCGTGCCCTCAGCTTCGCTAGCAGATGGCGGATGGTTTGACGTTCGAATGATTTTGCCAGCGCAGTCTGCGCCGGACCTAGGGATCGATTATGCAGCGTGTGGTGCGATAGAGCGTCTCACCAAACACTCTCGCAGAGCTGCAGGTCGCGTGCGTTGCAAGAAATTGTTTTCGCTTTTGGAAATGTGCGCAACCGTTGTGTGCACCGCGTGTTCCGTGCTACCGTTCAGGCCTGCACTTCGTACGGGTAGGGGGCGATGGGCAGTGACGGGCGCGAGCTCGTGGAAGGTCGTTTCCAGCGAGCTAGTGTTCAGACTCAGAAGGTAGCAGGTCGTTCCGTAGTTTTAGAGCTTCAGTTACCAGTGCCGCGCATTCGTCCAGCGTATAACCTAGCTGTGGCCCCCTCTCCTCGCAATCGCCTCCGCCTTGTGGGGTGGTTGGGTTCCTCGTGTGGTGGTGGTGCAGGTCCTAGCTGGGGCGTGGCAGCTTTTGCGTGGGCATGGCTCCCCGTGGCAAGCAAGTCGTGGCCCCTTTGTCGCAGCGGTGGCCGCGGCAACCCGGCTCGGCATCGACATGGACGGGCTCTTGTGGCAGCATCCGTGCGCGGGCGAGTTCTCGATTGAAGGTTCGTGCCCGCGGGCGGTCAAGACAGCTCTCGAAGCCGTTGTCGGAAGCTGGCCCTGGACGAGGGTCGTGGATCACCGCGTGGCACCTGAGTTCGTGCGAGGCCCGTTCCTCGCGCCAGCTGAAGCAGGCTTAGCCAAGCTCTAGGTACGTGGGCGCGCCTGTGAAGCCAGTCTCGTTTCAGGCGGCCGCTGGTCGCAAGACGGGCAGTTTCAGCTCGGTCCTTCGCGCGAGCAAAATGGTTGCGCGTGCTCCTCAGCCCTGGGACCCTCGTGCATCGGCACTTTGGATGTCCCGGTCACCACGGCCCGCTGGGGCTTGCGCCGGAGCCGCCTGCAGGAGTCGGAGCAATGCTTCCAGCCAGCAGCAACCCTCTCGACCGCCTGCGCCACGAGACGCTGGTTGTGCCGCTGTCTGCCCCCCCTCCTCCTCCTCCTCCTCCTCCTCCTCCTCCTCCTCCTCCTCCTCCTCCTCCTCCTCCCACGTGCGAGCTTTGGCATTATGGGGCCCCAGGGGAGCCCAGAGGCGATGGCTTTACCGAAGGCAGTTTGCTCGATGATGGCTTGTTCCCCGCTGCTCGATCGCTCGGCTGGTCAATCGTTTTGCTGCATGGCGACCCCTCTCTTCCAGTCGGGCGCGCCTGGCGCTCGGTGCTCGCGGCTGGCCCCCCCAGCGGGCCATTGTGACATGGATGCGTGTGAGTTTTGGGCGTGTTCCATGGGCCTCAAGCAGGACCCCACTGGGGCTCACTTCTGGGCAGACAGCAGTTTTGTGCTCCTCGGAGTTGGGGAACGGGACAAGGCTGTCCGTTG